AACCTCCCTGCTCCTTGTACCATCACATCATGTTATGATCTAGAACAGAAATCCACAGGTAAAGGATCCATAACTAGAAAAGCTCAAACAAGACTTGGGATCTTTATATTAAAGCCAGAGAAACAGTGAATTAAAGTCCCTCAGTTGCAGAGTTTGAGGAACAGGGGCCTGTTCTTGCTAAAATAAATTTCCAATTAATTTCCCAGAACCACAAACCCTTATGTGCTCTAAAAGGAATGGTGAAGGGGTGAACAAAGGGGATTCTGGRCTTGTCTGCCCCAGCCTGGGTGTGGCAGCCCAGCCTCAGGCTGGCAGCTCTGAAGTGTTCATGCTAAAACATGTGACACTTCCAGGAAGGAACTGGCAAAGCCAAGGGGATGATTTTCATTCTGCACTGCAAAATGAAATCCTTGACCATGGACAGCAGATGTGGAAAAAGGTCAGCTTAAAGAAAATGCTGAACAGTAAGCAGGTATATTCAGTGCTAAGCCTGTGGAGTACAGGAGGATGTGTGTGCAACCTGGCAGCTGGCACACAATGCACTATTTCTTAAATACTTACTTTCAGCCATTTAGTGGCTCATCTACCTGTGCAGTAACTCTGTTTCATTTTCAAACTGTCACCTGCAGGTTATTATGCCCATGAGTGGAAAAGTTATTTAACACAACAGAGCCATCCAGTGACAAGTATGTTTTTCGATACAGCGGACAAAGAGCCGTTCTGCAGTAAGTGACTGAGATTTCGGGGATGATTTTTCTTTGTGCGTTGCCTCCTTCAGCAGCAGCCGAGCAGAGATGGTTATTTGCTGCTGGTATCATAGCCAGCATTTTAGAAACTCCAGTGGCTGCTGGCAGGAATTGTGYCCATCTGTGGTTTGCCATTTCTTATCAGCAAGGCTGTCTAATACTGTGAAAGCCAACTTGCTCACAGTTCTAGGAAATTGGTTGAAAACTTTCAAATTAAGTATAAACACTCAGATTGTGTTTCAAAGCAACACACCATTCTTTTGTGAAAACAAGAGGTGTGTGGGAATGATAAGAAAGAAAGACGGGCTGTACAGGTTAAARAGCTACCCTGGAGAAAAGCGAGAGGCACAGGGAGAGGGAGAGAATCTGTGGAAAAAAAGGTTTCACCAAGGTTTCTCCTCCTTCCTGTGATTACCAACATACCAAGGCATGGGCAGGGATTATGGCCAGAGCTCCAATGCCAGTGAGCAAGAATTCAGATTCACAGATCAAAGAACAGACAATTCTGCTCCATGACAGAGATGACAAATGACAGATATGAAGAACCRACATGGAGGGGTTCAGAGGGAGAAAGAAGAAAGAAAAGGCAATCTGGAATTGAAGGGGGAAGGCAGAAAGTGAAAGGCAGTGTACTGGGAGCCATACAGAGAGGCCATCCTGCATGGGTAACCCTTGCTGTAGTGCTCTCCTGACACCTCCTAGTGTTTCTGGCTGAAATCTCTGCACAGGGAGATGGAGAGCAGGGAGGAGAAAGGGATTTTTGAGACAAACTGCAGGGGGTTTGTCCATCCTCCACCCACAGTTCTGCTCCCAGACAGTGCAAAGCCTGGACAGCAGAGTGAGCCCACAGGGTCTAACCCCACTCACTCTTTCTCCTCTCAGTCTATCACTACTTGGTGGATATTATCACATGGAACAAAGTCACTAGGAGAGGCACCTTCAGCATCATAYTCACTGAGGAGACTGGGCAGAGGGCAGAATCGAGAGTTAATCCGTAAGTCTCACTGGTCTGAGCATCTCTAAATGTTAATATATYCCTTGGTACAACTGCAGCTGGGAGAAGGTGAGGCATCCTCCCCCATTTTCTCTACTGGTACTTGCTAGTGCACACATCTATGGGATTTCCTGGCCCTATGGGATTTCCACAGGCTCCCCCAGTACACACCACACAACAGCCCAGTCCTTCAGCTTGGGCTCTTCTCAGTCATTTTAAGGCCTGAAGTGGACAACCTAAGCCAGCAGCACAATGACCCTAGGCTACSACTAAAACAGAAGGAAAAATGGAAAAACATCTCCCCCTCTTTCCTTCCTCTTCCAGGGAGTGTTCTGTTCAAGCTCTCAGTGCCAAGACAGCTGGGGATTAACCTGGGCCTGAATATGTCACACCCAAATCAATTAATTCCACTCAGAGAGAGAAATTAATGACTAGTGTTTATGTGACATGCAAATTCTTGATTGATCTTAACCACCCTTCAGCCAAACAATCCTGTTCAACTAGTTTTCCCCAGTATCTCTAACTGCACATTCCCTCAGCCATATCTGGTATCTGCTTGCACTGGAGCAATCAGCATCGCTCCCACATCAAGGCCAGTGCAGATTTCACACGCACCTCAAGGTGACTCAGTGTTCAGACCTGCACAGACAGCCAGGTGCAAATATCACTTGGGTCTAGACCACTTGGGATCAAAGCAGAATTACAGTGAGAATTYTGGTTTGGGACCAAATGGCATCTGATCTCTGTGTCCCCACTCCCACCCCAAAAAGCTGAGGGCAGAAGTATCTGAGCAGGTTGACCCCTGGAGACCTGAATCCATGCCTATTCCCTATAAATCAGAAACTAATCACAAGTTCAGGCYTCCTTCCCCAGCCCTGTTTCTAATATTACACTGACTACATTAAACACTGTGCTATTCCCTTGGTGACTGACTCTCTCATCTGCTTTTTCTTTAGAGAAGCTGCCACCTTCCAGCAGTACAACCAAATCACTTTGCTCACTGGGTTCGACCAGGATCTTGAACATGTGGAAAGAATTTCCTTGACATTTTCCACAGGATCTGTCATTGGGCCAAAATTCAAACTCAGGATTCTCCGCATGAGGTTCCGCTCACTGACAAACCCAGAAAGGTGAGCAGATGTTTACAGACAAACCATTTCTGTTGGTGCAGACTGGACAGAAGTAAAGAAATCTCCCAGATTCCTGGCCTGGCTGAGTTTATGCGGAAGAATTAGATTAATTTTACATTTAGTAATTCTCATATACATATCTTGGGAATAAATTCCTCTTTAGCAGAATCCCACAGCTGAATACTTATCTGAACACAGAGTCATATTGCACTGAGAACATGTCACATGTGATGTGACTCTGACAYGGCCTGACACCTTAACCTTTGGTCAGGAAAGTGACCTTTGAGAAGCTGCCCAGGCCTGAACTCTGCAGTGAAGGGAAATGCAGCTCTCTGGGARGCACAGATGTTCAGCCACAAATACACATTTTATATGCCAGTCAATTTCTATGGCCAGTGAAGCAGGGTGATTAATTTATTCCTGGAATTCCAGCAACTAGGAGCTGCTGGCTGCTTTGCCCCAAAGCTCAGGCTGCTGCCCACACCAGAAGGTACCTCCCACTCCATTGCTGATRAGATTTCTACCACCTCCTTAACTCTGTCTGCTCTGTTGTCCCATCCTTAAGCTTCCCTGATTTGCAGGGTACCACAGCAAGCACAAAATCTCTTGGGCTGACCTTGTGCACAAGGACACTGTGGACACCACACTATGCTTTAAATTTGGATTAAAACAATGGKGGAGGACCAGAGGGTGAAGCAAAATGATATACAGAGCTGCAGAACATGTTTCTTTGCATTGCATGAGGCCTGCTACCCCTATCCTAGCCTTGGAACAAGGAAAAGATTGTCTACATCTACTAAACRAAGTCCTGCAGCTCTCCCTTGCTGCCGCTCCCTGTCTCCTGTCCCATACCTCCCACAGTAACTTCCAGACCCAGATCCACATTTTGTCTTTTTAAAAGTAGACACAAATGCCCTAATATTTAATCAGAGGATGTTGTCTGTCCCCAGAGAGGGGCTGCCACAGGCCATGAGCACAGTCCAGGACTTTTAGCATATTAACTAATCAGTCACTGCCCCAGGGAGGGATGTCCTGCCCTCTCCCCTTGCGTGTCCCAGGGCTAATGCTTGTATTTCCCCAGTGAAAGCCCAAGTATTTCCCCAGAATTTTGACTAAACTAGCTCCAGCACAGATCAATGTTTGGACCCAGGTCAGAGCAGTGGCAGAACCCTTCATGCCAGAGCAGGGAAGAAGCAGAACAGTCAGGTGCACTGGGCAGACCACTGGGTTTGGTGGACAGAGGTGTGGACTGGCTTAAAGAGAACCATGGGCTCTCCAGCAAGTGCCTGTTGGCTGGATTTTTTGTGTTCCTTTTTTTCCACAAGCAAAAGATCATGTAGGACAGAAGGCCAAAATGCTCAAGGTATCCCTGCCTTAAAGCCAACCTCACTTCAGGTGTACTTCCAGTCAGTTCTTTTGAGAAGGTGATTTATGTAGGCCTCCAGCACGTGCGGAGACTCGACTGAGAGATGACAGAAAAAAAGCACCGTTTTTTCACTTTCGGCTCGTGTTTTCACACAGACCACAGATGTGCCGGTACGACCTTGTCCTGACTGAGAACACCCAGAAGACCTTCAAGCCCATCCCGTGCTGAAGCAGGAGCTGAGTCCCGAGGATGCTGAGACATTTCACCGCCGTGTAGGGACTCACCTGCTGGGGCCTGGACACCCTCTGTGRGGGCAGCAGGACCCGCTCCTCACGCACAGTGTATAACGGGGCTCGGGGAGTGACAATAAACCATGGCAGCACATGGCTTTAAAGCGTGGCTTTAAAACGCGGGCCTAAAGCGCGGGTTTGAAGCGTGTGTCCCCAGCTGAACCGGCCCGGAGTGCTCAAAGAGCAGCACATCGCCACAGCCCAGCTCGAGACCGCACCCGCCCTCACGGCCCTGCGCGCGGCCCCGCCCCTGACCGCACCCGCCCTCACGGCCCTGCGCGCGGCCCCGCCCCT